GAAGTCTCCAAAGTCTAGAAAACTTTTAAGGCAGCATTAATTCCACCTCATAACTCAAGAATTGCCAAGTTTCATCTTTTGTATCATCTTTAATCTCACATTTTTGAGTGTCGGTTACGCTGTGTCGGTTACGTAACCGACACAATTTGGCAGGGCCGCCATGTTTGCGTGGACCTCCAGCAGTCCCGCGGGAAGCGCTGATACCTGATTCAATGGCTTGTTTATCAATCACTTTAACTTTGCACTGAATCAAAATAGAGCGTGCCAAAGCTGGAAAAAGGAAGTTTAATACCTTTAGAATGAGGTAATGAAATCCTGTTAAAATTGGTGCACTTTTATTTCTCAGGTATTTCATATTTTAACTATTCCTGTTATCGTGAAATCACCCCAAACCGTGACTCTATGGCTGAATTTATGTGCCAGCAACGGGGTTGTTACGTTTTAACTGGGCAGCACTGTAACGCACGGGAAATTGTTTTTCGAACTTGCCATTACCGCAAAAAGACGTGTCTTTTGATAGGAAACAACATAATTATCCACCTCGGGTAAAATCCATGAGGGAGAGTGGTCCCCCCCATTGATTTTGCCCTCCCCTCCCCCGCAAAAAACAGCTCCCAAAAAAAACTGCCTTTCCTAGGGGGGAAGCAAAATCCCCGTTTTTGAATAACCCTCTTTCAGTGCGAGTTGAATATTTTTTTTCATATTTGCGAAACATGATAATTCTGCAAGTCTCTGACAAATAAAAGTTGTCATTTCAAATTAAATAATGAAGATGAAAAGCTGGGAAAAATCATTGAAACGACTAATTATAAGTTTCAAGCAAAATATAGCGTCGGGGAGTTTGAGCCATATCATGTAAAAGGAAACAAGGAAAGAGCTATTTACGCTAAATATGTTTAGGTATCTCTATTTCCTGTTGAGTTGCACTTATTTTTACGAATTCTCATACCGAAGCATTTGAGAACAAGAATGGCAGGTGATGTGGTCAGGAAATTGAATACATTTTAAGGTGGGGAATGATGTAAATATATCTAGGCTTTCTTTAGCTTGAACAGATAAATTCTCAACATTTTGCTACAAAGAACATCCGAATATAGAAGGTCAGCCCTCTAAAAACATTCCGAAGATATAAAACAGTAGTAGAGGATAGGAAATCGCATATTTGAGGGTAAACGCTTTTAAGTTTACGAGCTCTGCTGCCAGCCCTGAATATTATTCATTTATAACGTGTATGACTAGAATTATAATGCAAGTTATACGTATCCCTTGAAAATTTAATCTATCATATGCGTTAAGAACATTAGAAAATGCTTGTTCAGCGTCAAAAGTGAATAAGATTCTAAACGTAAATTTCCATTTTTTCTGTCGAGCAAGTTGTGCTTCCACCTTAAGGCTCAATTTGCCTGAAATCATCGCATGTATAGCGATGCTTTATCTCAAACCTTGTCTAGAATTCTACTTCGTTTGAACTGTTCAAAAAGGTACTTAAATCTTCAGCACTTATTTGGAATCCGATCCCATAGTTCATCGATCTTAGGTGTCGATGATATCTGAATTTTAAGACGTCCTCTCAAACATCCTCGAGCGTCACATCACTCTGTGGTTCTTCGGGTAAATTTCCACAAAAGTTTGACCGGAAAGCATTTTGAAACAACTGAATAAGTACATCCCGAGTTGATATCGCCAAGCAAAAGACAAAACTTTTAGCGAAATTCACCCGAGGCGTGGTCCCAGAAATATTTCAAAGATTTTCTCGGTCAGATCTTAAAGAGACTTACTTACCGTACTAAACCAAGATATGAAGGTCCAGATTTTTTGAAAAAAAAAATCCTAAAAGCCAGTAACTATCGAATCGACTAGACTTTGCAATTAGGAGCTACAGTTACTTATCCGTAAAAACACTTATGTACATTTTGAAACTACTGGTACATGGGTTGTTTCTATGCTGAGCCAAATATTGTAGTTCCAATTTGCAAATGTAGTCCAAATGATTGATCGACTAGGTATTGGATCGTCCTCCAAGTTACTGAGGATCCACCTTAACTATCTGAAACATTTAGATTAGATTTTGCAACAACAGCTACTTCTGGCTCATTTCAGAAACCACATGTCAACGGCCAAAGTGCAAAACCACGCTCCGCTCTTCTCCTCTTCTGCTCTTTTTTCATTTTTCCTAAGAGATACAAGCCAACTCTATAGGATGTTTAAAAAGAATATTCCGCTAACAGAGAAGAATATTAGAGGAAGTGTCCATGCAATTACATTGGTTAGTTTTGTTTTAGAGAAAATGAAGTATGACAAGAGGTCTGCAACGTTGCAAACGGAGACTTTCGTACTTTGGCCATTATACTCCATCGGTTTCCTCGTGGAGGCGGTCACTTTTTTAATAGGTCATACGTCATAGTGATCCTCATTTATGGCAAAATTTGGTTCTCAATCCCGCTTTTGAATTTTGCCCGTTATTCTTTATTAATAGGAGTGTTTGCTTTTCCTCTAGGGGAAAATGATGGAGGATCTGATCGAGAACCGGTGTCGACAACTTTGTCGACGTAAATCTAGCGTGCGAAAAGGAAGCGCTCTGCACTTGTCCGACTGGCTAAAGGGTCGTTTGGGGGCCGGGGGGAACATGAACGATGAGCCGCCCTCACCCGAGGAGGAGATGGAGATCTGGTCCAGGGAGACCCTCCATGCTCGCATGAAGAAGCTACGCGCACCTAATCTCACCGAAATTCTGCCCAGAAACGAGAGTCGCATGGAGGATCTCGAGTTTTCCGAATATTCCAGAAGCGCATCTCGATGCACCATAAATAGCCAGGTAATTCCCATCTGCTTGACTTTATACATTATGTATATCATTGGCAGGGGCTAGAATCAGTCCATGTCAGAACCCAACATCTTTAATTACATGTATAGTTCAATGCATCTTTGCAGACTTACGGTGTACCTATGCAGCAAAAACAGAGAATTTTTTTTTATAATGCAGGTAGTGAATTTGCGCATCATGGATCTCCAAAAATTATGTCACGACGAGATGATACAGAGATGAACTACCTATTGGGTGATTTTTTTGGATTCTCCTTTTTCAGCATCGTAAAATCATGAAGAACATTCAGCAGAAGTTTCAGCGAATCACGTACCTACCTACATACATTTGCTTTCATCCTAATGAATGAAACGCCTGCGCTTCAAATTCGATCTGAATTAAACTTTTACAGGGGTCAGTACACTCGCAGTGCTCCTCCATCGTGACCGAGGATTCCCAGTTTCCGTCTTACCGGAAATCATCCTCGCCGTAAACCACATGAATATACAGGGTGTCCCAAAAGTCCGGACCCCCCCCCCCTCGAAACTTTTGAGCGCTTAGAGACAGAAAAACAAAACTTTGGAAATGTTTCTATCTTAAATCTTCTAGGGGGGGTCAAAATTTTTGTCCTTCCCTTAGGGGAGGCAAAGGCCCCTAACTTTTTTTTCAAAAAGCAACCCCTATCTTGTGATACATCATTGGAAAGAACATAAAAAACTAAGAATTTTGGCGCAACCCGCAGATCAATATCTTAATTTTTGACCGAGTTATGACAGGTCAATGGTCAAATTTGACCTATTTTCAAAAAATCATAACTCCGGTTCAAACTATTGTAGAGAAAAAAACAAATCGGAAAAATTTACAAAATTGTAAGCACTTTAAAGTAAAAATCACAGAAATGACTTCAAGCTGATTTTAAGGGGGGTTTCGGACCCCCAAATACGTCAGTTTAAAGGTCATACGATTTTCCCGCGATTTGAGCCAATTTCTTCTTCCTTTGCCCCAACATTATCTTGGTAAGTTCAAAATTAGTTCAACATTGCGTTCTTTTGCATTTAAGTCCCTTTATTTCGGGCAAAGTTCAAAAACCGAAATTTAAACGGTTGAATTGAGTCACCTTACATATTTATTTCGATAGTTGTCTTTATTTGTTTTAATAGCTTAAATTTTAAAAGCATAATACTGAAGTTATTAAGATAATTAAAACAATCGAAACAATTAAGGTAGTGTCCTTAATCCTTATTGATCTGCAGTTTGCGCCAAAATTCTTAATTTTTTATGTTCTTTCCAATGATGTATCACAAGATAGGGGCTGCTATTTGAAAAAAAAGTTGCCCCCCCGCCCCCCTCAAGGGAGGGACAAAAATTGTGACCCCCTTAGAAGATGGCCCTTTTTAAGATAGAAACATTCCCAAAGTTTTGTTTTTCTATCTCTAACCGTTCAAAAGTTACGAGGGGAGTACCCTCCCCCCCCCCTTGAGACACCCTGTATATCGTCTCACAGCCTACCGGTGCCATCCCTGCAACTTCCCCGATATCCACTTCCGAGAATTTTCCGCTGAAGCGTAGCCGATAAAACAAATATTATTTTAAAAATAAATAAATGCGACTAGAGTTTGGAGGTGACCCTTAAAGTGGAATACCCTGATAGCCAAAAATACTGCGAGCTGTTGCCCGCGGAGAGCAGCTTTGATTGGAGGAGCTGGTGGCTTGCCGCCACACATCGGTTTTTTCCTCACATAGGTAGCAGTAAAATATGGCGAAGAAGAATATCATGTTTTCTTTTTGTTTCTTCTCTGCAAATATCCCTCAGGGAATAGTCTACCGCTTGCAGTCCCTGAAGCCCCCCCCCCCCTCAATCCTTAATCAAGCCAGCCCCAGGGTACCGTCGCATCGTTTGAGACCATCAAACTCTGGTCACTTGGCCGGAAATCGAACTCGGGACTTCTCGATCATAGTGCAAGCGCTTTAACCACTACACTGTACTGCCGTGCTATATGTATAAGGAAGAACGCCGTATGAACCATCAGATTCAAACTGAGATAGGTATTTACGTTCAAAGTCTATGGCCTGCCTCTCTGCGAGATTTGGGAATTTTAAGTTTTCGTTTTCTCCTATTGACAGCTTGATCCCTTGGCTGTTCATTAGCGCTTACCTAGAGCATTTGCAAGAAGATAATGACTTCCTGGAAAATCACAAATGAATGAGGGTATGTCGGACTCACGGCAAACTGCCCGTGCAGGCAGGGTCCTTTCACTGTGCCGATTTTCCCGTGTGTCTTTCCTAGTGCCGAGGACGCGTTTCCAACGCTGCCGGCTGCGGTATAAGGGTTATATTTCACTTCTTTCGTTTCTGTGAGGTTTATTTTTTCAGGAATCATTTTACCTATAACCAAGATTATTAACCGTCCGACATTTACCGTCATCTATCTTGAGGAGGCTATTCCGCAAATATATCAAATTATTTTTTTCATTACGAGGCTAGCTTTTCACATTACTTTATCTACTTACTTATGAAATCTGAACTTCAAAAATATAAAAGGAAAACTTAATGTAAGAATTTGTCTAAAAAAGAATGTATACAATTGTCCACTGACAATGTAGAGAAAGATTGTCGTATAAAATTGACGGTTTCAAAATGCCGATAATTTTCGCAAATTTAGCGGACAATATGATGCCCTTTTTAGGATCGAGTAAGACAAGCAGAGGAACCAATCCCATTAAAAAAATTAAGAACTTAACAAAAACAACATAGCTCGTTTGTATCGGCGTTTGAATTCCCCCTTTCTCATTTTGTTATCTAATAAATAACATTATAAGCGGTCCGCCGTGACTTTGAACTTCCTGACCACGTCCCGCGGCCCCCCTGTGTCCCACGCCCCTGAGGATCGATCGGCGGGACCCCTGCGGCCGGGTCTCCGGTCCCCCCGCCGGGTTTTCCGGCCCGACCCTCCGGGGGGTTGCTGCAGCCCCTAAGAGTTTTTTCGGGAAAACCGTCACCCCTCGCGCCACGTTCGTCCATCGGCTCGGGAATCGGCACGCGAGTGCACTCGGGTGGCCGGAGCTTATAAGTCCGAAGAATCGCTGACCTCGGCCTCCCCGGAGGGGCGCTGCGCCTCGAATAGCCGTTTTTTCCACCCCCGCGTGAAGTGCCCCACTTCTTACCTTCCCGTTCGTCCTCCGGGCTCCCGGTTCCGTCTGCAGGTCGGCTCCGGATCGGCGACGTTCGATAAGGTTGGATTTCGCGATCCCTCCATCCGGGGGGCGCTGGTGCCTTAATACGTAAAACTGTAGACGGTCATTTAAGATGACAAATTCCGAAAAAAAATGTCAGATGTTGAGATGTGAATTTTTGATTTTTGTCCACAGAGGGCCGCACTGTGCGGAGGTTCTGCCCTTCGTCCCGCGTTGGGCGGTGCAAACGCTCCCCAGGGGTCCGCAACGGGGGAGCCGCGGGAGCCCCCCGAGGGTACCGGGGCCGACCCAGTTTCTCAGTAGGTCACGCGGATTTTTGAGATGGAAGGCCGGATCGCTGTTGCCATGGTTATGATATACTCAAATGACTGCGCATTGCTCGAGCGCGCCGTGTCGCAAGATCCCGCTCACCGGCGGGATTGTTTTGAGCTCAGTCCGTCGGGAAACCTGAATTCGGCAGCCGCGCATCTTTTTTTTTTTACTTTTCATTTTCAAACTCTGGTGTGGGAAGCGTAGCGGCCGGGGACTTGAGGGTTACTGCGGCAGTTCAATAATTTCATTAATAAGAAGTTAAGAGGAGGAAGATTTGAATTGCTCAATCGCGGAACATGGCCAATATTCTTGAATTTTAATTTTTTTCATCGTTTCTATGTTCTAGCGTCGCATTGCCCAAAAAAAAAAAAAAAAAAAAAAAAAAAATTGAAATCAAACGCCGAGTCCTGCAATCTTAAGTTTCAGCAGTCGCTATTACACTGTGCGATTGCAATTACTCCCCAAAATAAATTAAAATGTTCCCAGCTACGTTCACTAAAATTGACCGCGATTGCAATAATATTCACCAAAAGTATCCTCCGACGGTTTTCGGAAAAATCGGCCTGGCTCGCTTCATGCCAGGCCGATCGGAGCCGCGTTTGGAGCGGAGGTTCTGCCCTCCATCCCGCGTCGGGCGGTGCAAAGAAACTTTAAAAGGCATGCAATACTAAATTCCCCATGGGATTTTGGCTGCTTAATCCGAACACGGATTTGGCTTTTTTCCATCATGCACAGATTTTCCGGAACACTGATACTTCTCTGGAAAAGCTAGATTTGTAGGGAAAATTCCTATTTTTGAGGAGAACATATAGACCTATTAGGTGTTAGGTAAAAGACGTTAAGAGAGAAAAATAATTTGATTTTCATGTTTTATTTTTTTTTATTGAAGAAAAATTATCCATACGGAGTGTACAAGAGCCTCAGAATCACAAAAAAAATCAAATCATGAGTTGAAAAACGCTAATTCCGCGAGTATAAATAATCGCGTCAAACTCGGTTCAGATACCGTAAAACGCATGTTAGCGCTACATTACGAAAGGAATATTTCACGCATTGCGCGTTCACCAAGGGTGCGTGCTGCGGTTGAGAATTTATAATTAGTCGTTGTAGGGCCTACCGCGAGGCACACGGTGTCCTAGGCTTTTGCACTCTTGGACTCAGTAACACATTTCTTGTTTCAAGCCTCCATCAAACGGTCTGTCGCAAATATTTCACTATCCTATTCCACTCCTCGATCCGAGAAATCTTTGTTTTACAATGTTGTCTTTTCAGTTTGCTGATCAAAAGCTTCAATCACTGATAAAATGGGAAGCATTACCTACAAGAAAATTTCGCGAAAGACAATTTATCCATTCCAAATATTCTTCAATGTACTTAGCACAAAAATAGCGCAAGTGATCGAGTTATTAACGAGATACATACTTACTGGGAGCAATGGTCAACTTTTAATTTTTTTAGATTTGTTTGAAATTGTTCAACCCACCTCGGATAGATTTATGAACGCAT